AAGCCATGGAGTTTGTCTTTTGCTGTAATGACATTTTCATCCCGCCCTTAAAGACTTTTATTCAAGTTGTTTAAATGCTCAAATAAGTCGGAAAGAAAAGCCAATTTCAAAAGGAATTCCGGGTCAGAAATGAATTCAGAGTAATGTGACTTGGCTTGTTGTAAATATACTAATAGTTCAGCGCGAAGTTCCATAACTCTGGTCAGTACTTTGCCTTTTGATAACCACCTAACCTCTGTGTGGTAAAGCAAATTGCGGTGTAGTGCCCCCATATCTTCACAAATGATTCGAAACAATCGAGTCTGCAACGCTTTTCCTTTGATAGAATTTACAATGTTAATAATAATATTTAGAACTTGACTGTATTCTTGTGGCAAGGTTTTGGCTGCAAGAGCTTGGCGATGGAGAAAGCAGTGCATCCAACAAGCGTTTGGCATTTGTTCTTTCAGTCTAGCAATAAATCCACTCTTCGCACCAGTCATGGCTTTTGCTCCGTCACTACAAATAGCAATGCATTTTTGTGCCCAATCGATATTCATATCTTGCGTAGCTTCAACGAACATGTCATGCAAGAACTGACCTGTAGCATTTTTGGGAAGTGCCTTGCAAAATAGTATTTCTTCCATCAATATTTCATTGGATTCAAAACGCACAAAAGCTAATATCCGCAATATCCGTTGATTCATCAAATTGTAAGGACACAAAAGAACTTTTTTTTATTTTTTCTATGACTTGAATGATATTGTCAGAGAGAGGTATACTTTTGAGCTTTTCGACCTCTTGTTTGCCAAACATAATCTCTGCAATATCTAAAGCCGCTGGTAAAATCAAATTTTCGGCAATACTGTGAGGTTTTCCTGCTTTAGCCACACGAAAAGCTACTCGATAACTAGCTAGCAACGCTTTCTCATTTAGGTTGGACATTTGTCCTATAGCAGTTTTTTTGATGTTCAAGACCTTTTAGTTTTCGCTCAAAAAATTCCACGGGTTTATTTTTTCATTAGGATGTTTTGTGTTTAGGTGGCGTATCAACTTCGATGGTTTCATGCTTTCTCTTGACAAAATTTCAAAGCAAATTACGCACTGCGGTTTATTCTCAATCACAGTAAACCCATATTTCAAATAATTGTCGTCATAAATAACGACAATTATTAAATTTAATTGTCGTAAATTTTTGTATGGATTAAATATTTTTAACATACATGAAAAAAAGGGTCGGGGGGTCGCGAAATATTTTTTGTTACTAGGGGGGTCGTGTCATGAAAAAGGTTGAAAAACACTGCCCTAGAGGAAAGAATCGCCTGAAGACGCACTGCTAAACCCGAATGTTTCTAGTTCTAGGTTTAGTGTTAGTTCTAGTTTTGCACTAGCACTATCACTAGAACCAACACAAGACCTAGAACTAGAATCATTTGGATTTAGTCGTCTTGAGAGACGAGCGGCTAAATCTGATATAATTCTTGTCATAAGGACCTCACCTTCGTCCAAACAAAACTTATTGCATATGGGATAGTGCAAATGCATAATAGTTTCGTAACTATGGTTACTGCACTCACCCGTGTGAAGTTACCCATAAATTCCATCCATAAAAAAAACTTTTTTGTTTGTGTATCGATTTTAATGATTAATAGCTCATTAGGAAGATCTCGTAGAGTAGAGCCTAACATAGTTTTGGCGGCGCAGATTTTGGGCGGGAACACCTTAAATTCCGCGAAAACAGTGAAATATATAAAAAAAATCTCTAACTTTAGAGTCCTAAAAATTGAAAGCTAATTAACATAACATCATAGATCATATCATAGTAATAGCGGCGCGAAATTCTAACAATAAGGGTGATTAAACGATTAAAAACGTTATAAATAATTATATTCTTAGTCCTTTAAACATTGTTAGTAACTGTCCCACTTTTATAATAAGTAAAAACACAGTATATTAATAAAATACTATAATTCATTATTATTAACGACAAGTCAACTGTATATTATATAATTTTTCTGTAAAGATAATAAGTATCTAAAACTAGCTACAACAATTATTTACAAAATGAGATCAATTAAACAAAATTGTATAAGTAGTCAACTACTAAAATCTAATTTAATTGTAGTTACATTTAGTTGCTACATTAAATTGTATATAAAAATTGATGGCACATTTTTATTGTACCGTATAGGGCCGTTACCCTCAATCAAATAGAAAGACAGTCTTTCAAAAAATCAATAAAGTATGTAAAAATAGAAGGATTGGTAACATTTTCAGATTCTAAAAATGTTTAATTTTTCAAATAATTAATATTAAAATTCAAAATTCCCTGTATAACAGCTTTGGTTACGTTTACGAGGTTTTCACGTAAGATCAAGAAGATCAGACAAAACGTGAATCGTTCGGATCTCTTCTTCTAGCGCATAAGATTCTCGTGGTATCTCGCTCATGCACCTTTTATTGATTTTTATTTCAACCAACCGCGTGCGAAACGACGGTGACGTATCCAAAGTTTTTTCAAATTTTCATTATTTTTTTTTTTTTAACTAAGGCCCTCTTTGAAAAATACAAAATTAATAGAAGTCTTCAATTTTGCTAAACTATCGAATAAGCCAATAGAAAAAATAATGTGTAACGGCCCCATTACAGTTTAAGATCGCTGTCTACAAAATTCAAACCGCTCGTCCAAACTAGTTTTGCAGGTATCATGAGCCATCTACGAGCATTGCTTGTATTTGAATTCATTATGAACCTCTTCAGCGAAGAGACATTTTTCCTTTAATGAGTCGGAGTTTTTTTAATAAAGTTTCAATAATAATGTTTCTGTATGAATCTGCATTTAATGATTTAAATGGTTTATTTGATAATATACAGTCAATCAAATGACAGACAAGAACTCCACAATTGTATCAATCTGCTTGTAAAGGATAATCTAGTTTTGGAAATTTGTTTTAAATGTTCCTGGCTGTTGTTAAAGGTCGTATTTTCATACTGTGAATTGTATGTTAATGGATCGCGTTTCGCTCAACTCTCTTCTGGCACTTTGTTTGACTTTTCGTTTATTACACATCTCGTATTAAGTTATATTTATTAGTTATTAGTTAGTTACAGACAATTAACAAAAACGTTATATTTATGGATATGATTGTTTATAACCTTTTTAATCGTTTAATTACGGTTATTGTTAGAATTCCGCGCCGCCATTACTATGACATGATCTACAGGACGAACCTTTTCCAAAAAGGTATTACACAAACTTAAATCGGACCATTAACAAAAAAGTTATACTTATGGATATGATTTTGCTTTTCAAAGAACCGCCTGGCGCCACGTACGTCTGGAAACCGGTTCGTGTTTTCTTGCACTTTTCTAATTACCCATATGATTTAGCGACGACCAAAATTCACTTTTGTGTAGAAGACAGTATACGCATTCTGATTTGGTAATCATACCTGATGTTATGTTAATTAGTTTTCAATTTTTGGGACTCTAAAGTTAGAGAATTTTTCTATATATTTTACTGTTTTTCGCGGAATTTAAGGTGTTCCCGCCCAAAATCTGAGCCGCCAAAACTATGTTAGGCTCTACTCCACGAGATCTTTCTAATGAGCTATTAATCATTAAAATCGATACACAAACAAAAAAGTTTTTTTTATGGATGGAATTTATGGATAACTTCACACTGGTACTGCACTCATATATTGCGAGTTATATGAAAATTCCGATATAAAAATGCTACGTTAAAAATAGAAATGATAAAGATGAGTTTTTCTAATGTAAAAGGACAAACTGCGTAGAGGTGATGACGTTTACGCTGCGGTCGACTGAGCTGTCATCTGAAAACTCGCTTCACTATATTACCGCTACGAATTCAGTGATATTTGATGTTAGTGCTCAGTACTCCCGTAGAAGGCACCGGCTGTAGATCAGGCAGAGCTGCTTTCTCTGTCGTTCCACGCGATCTCTAATAACATCTCTGCTTTCGATCCCTACCACCATCAGAGCCGGTTATATTTCGAGTGTGGTCCGCATAACGAGAAAAGAAAATTAATAAGTCGGCTGAGAGCGACGCGTTTGCGCCCGCATTACGTAAGGGAAAATGAAAGGATCCGCGCCGGTACCGAACCGGCAGACCACGGTACGTAACGCAACCTTCGAAATCGACACGATCACTCCTATATTCGTCGTCGGCGCATATTGTCGTCGTTTTTTCGAATTTGTTTCTTTAACCGCCGGTAGATACGTGTACACGCGCGTGTGCTTCTCATTTTGTTAGTGTTAAGTTAAGATTGGCGCCTTCTCACTTTACCAAACGTTTTTTGGAGACGACGACGACGGCGCGCCAACAGCAAACGTGAGTCGATTCACAATGGTTTCTTTTCAGTTCTCCTTTCGCTCTCTTTCGCCTTGAAGATGAATGGATCCATGATTCATTCATCTTCGAGAGGCAAATTACCACAAAACGCCTTCTTCTTGTTTACAATTTAACACACATTGATTACTTAGTAAGAATTCCCACAATTTTGTAATTTATGCCATTCTTTTTTTTTCTTATTGGATTATGTGTGGAATTCTTTTTTGAAATATTAAAGATGTAACTTCTGTTGTGATAACAGCATACCAAAAGCGGTAAAATATGCACAGACGCCAGGATTCGATTGAATAATTCAACACTGATGTCGCTAAGCAGTAAAACCATTGATATCTGATGGACACAATTTACTTACACTTCCTGCTGTCACTGTATTGTGGTAAAAATAAAAGTTATGATGTTGTTTGAATGCTAATTAAATTAGAGCTTCTCGGTATTAACCCAACCCAATAATTCTTTTGATGTTACACAATGTTATTTGTTTTATTATTATTTTTTTATTAAATTAATCAGACGTAGAGATTAAGCGATAAGCGATAATTATTAGTGATAAGTACCTACCAGAAATAAACAGTGATCCAACTGCAAGATCATTTTATACCTTTTTTGCAAACATTCTCTCATCACTTTATCATGCTAAGTTTTACTAAGTAAATGCTAAAATTAGATAATATGCTAAAATTAGATACATATTTAAATTTAGTTAAATAACCCACTGTGGTAAATTGTTAAATATTGTTAGGAGTCATCTTATAGTACGTAGTACAGACTTATTAATGTTTCTTGTTTCTCGTATGTCTTATGCCGACGAACATTATTGCTTATTTGTTACAATATAGCAGTTGTAAAGAGGAGCGGGAAGTGAAGACGCTAGCACGCAGAGTAGATTTATCGCTCCCTTATGTAATATCCGCATTGAAGCAGCGCCATCTGTCCGTTGCGGGTCCGAATGCGAGACTTGAATCCGGTCGCGAAGAGAGATCTCGGGGACGTACGGGAAGGGCTAATGTGCTGGTACTGAACGCATTAGCATAATTGCACTTGGCTGCTTATGTTTTCACACGTCGATCTGATCGAGTGTAATTGCTCGCACAGTTAGGAATTTCTATTGCGGGAAAACGAACATTTTTCTAGGTACATCCGTCTCTAGAATCGTCTTCGGTCGGTTCGGCCCTTTCCGCAGGCAAATAATTCCAAAATTGGATGTGCTGGAACGTGAACGTAACTATTCGCATAAACTATTCCCTGTCGCGACACCATAAATCGACGAGAAAGGGAATTCGCGACGCGCTGCAGAGGGCGTGCCTCTCACAATATTGGGAACCAGGAAATGAGCATTGTGGAGCCGGCAGTAAATAATCAATAGCGATGGTAACTCACGCAGGACACCGGACCGCTATGGGGCATTCACGTCGCCTTATCTGTTCGGATATTTATACGAGACCGATAAATTTTAGCTGTTTCACGCATTGCCCGCGCAGGCGGTGAGATATCTTGTCCTCATGTCAAACATGCGCTTCACACGATCACCACCATAAATGATATATTTTACCTTCTATCCCACCAATAAGCATCAATGAACGAATAAATGAATGAAAATACGTGAATAAGTACCAAGAATTTGCGTTAAATCCCATCAACTAATAATACTAAATACCCAATACACTGTTCGTATTCAATTTATTATCGTTATTAAACGTTAGTTTTTCATAGAAAATCCAAATAATCAGATAATTGAGTGGTTATTGCTCAACTCGGATACTTCATGTGTGTGAAAACACCTCCGCTCAGCTGCTGGCGGCCGTAATTACAAATTGCTTTTTGTGTAAATACCGACGCGCATTACATACATATAAAAGCGATTGGTGGCTAATTGCAAATAGATAACACGTAAAGGAATGCGCGTAATATTGCAGAAATACCTTTAAGAATGGTATCGTACGACAATAACAACGTTAAGTTATATCCATACGAAACGGCACAGATTGTTCGATTGCCACACCAAAGCCGAAGGTCGCCGATCGAGAACGGTTTACGTCGGTAAAAGGAGCACAGGTTAGCTGCACACAGCAGACGTATTTCACTTGTTTCTCTAAGCCGTCAATGCGAAAAAGAAAATTTTTCGAGAAATCTCCCACGCCTTGTTTTTGTTGACCGGACAATAGGTTAATAATTTCTCGGTAATTATTCCATTCCCAAGTGAGTCAAGTGCATTTGAAAGGTCTTTCCAAGAAATTGTATTAGTGTAAATAAATTAGAACACAAGTTAAGGAAATTACGATAATAAATTTCCTATACGATATTTGTACAATTGAACTAAAACTAAAACTAACACTATAAATAGAACTATAAATAAAAAAAAAGGAACTTTAATACACGTTTAAGGACTCGGTTAGATTACTGTAAAAAAAGATTCTTGTTACTGTTGGTATAGAAATGTTTGGAATTCAAAGTTGGTGTTCTAATTTTGCGTTGATGTCTCCGTAGAAGTAATGAGTAAAAAGTGTGTAGACGAACCGCTATAGATATAAAACCATGTAGTTCTCATGTGGGAAAATGTTAAATGTGACTGTTCGCTCATTAAAGTGGCAAACAACGGCGAACCGGTGCAGAAATAAAATCGTAGCGGCAGTGAGATCACGAAGAGTTAGACCGAGACGCGCTGGTTTTGCAGTGCGCGCGGTTACCTATTGGCCATAAATGTCAAGGCAGTCGTTGTCGGGCGGCCGTGCGGATATTTGCATGCGCGATAACGTAATGCGTTATTACTACAATGTCGGTAGATTATGGTCGCTGGACGAGCGCGGCTAACTACAAGTATATCTACGGTCTATGTAGATCTAGAAGCTGCTCTTCGCGACCCGGCCACAGCCCCAAGGTATAGAATAAGTCCTTCGGTGGAGTTATGAGCCCGGGTCCGGCTCGTAAGGAACATATTCTGACCTTCTGAACGAATAAAGAACACGCTAGGGAAATTGCTTAAAGTGCAAAGTAAATAGAAACTGCTAAATATATAAATACCTGCAAGTAACAAAGCTCAACGTTGTTCTAACCTTACGATCTAACTTGGTTATTTCAATGCTAGATCAAGGCGGTTACCATTGTTGCGTGCCGTGACACGGTTTACTGATGTTCTTATTTGGAAGTCGCTACAACTAACTGAATTGTCTAAAAAACCTTGTACTCGTAAATAAAAATCATTAAATCCTTTTTTGGGGATCGATACAGATCGCTATTTCAATATGTTTTCTGTTAATTGAATATACTAAAAAGGAGTTCCATCTCGTTATATCTTATTATAAGAAAGAATTATCAGAATTAAAAATAAATAGGTATTATATAGAAAAATATACAGGGTGCCCATTATGTATGGAATATAGTATACAGTGTGTCCCCGGATAGTGTCCCCGTAAGGTATAATTGACGATAAATTTTTGAATTCAAATTCCATCTTTTGCAATTAAAGTCTGGATGTCATAAAACGAAATATAACCAAGTTTTACGTCAAATGTCCTCAAAGTACCAAAGTTAACACAAGAAGTTTGTTGTTAACCGTTGCAGGTAAACTGGTTTTTCTGAGCAATGTACAACAAAAGTTGATTAAGATAAAATGTTTGTTATGTTAAATTATAGCGATATACCGAATTTTATTAATGTAGGATATAAAAGCAAACTGCAGATTTTTAAATCATAAGATTAACAAAACATTTTCGATCTAAACTAAATTAACATAAAAGCTTATTCAATGATACCACCACCAACACTAAAACATAATTCAGCCCTTTTTCGACATTGTTTATAACTTTTTCTAATATGGTCCAACGGAATTTCTCTAATAACAGTTTCAATTTTTTGTTTTAAACGGTCTAAACTGTTATTAAAATGGCGGTCACGGGCGATATCTACCAATCCATTTTTTCCAAATAACGTATTTAACATATTTCTAATTAAAATGGTTGAATGTAGGCCGCAACCATCTTGTTCAAAATATAATTTATTGCGTTTTTCTAAATTCACGCCGTGAAGATAATTAAATAAACAATTTTCTAGTATTTCCAAATATCGGTGTTGATTCAAATTGCCGTTTATGAAGTAAGGTTCAATAACACCGTCCCACGAAACAGCAGAATTGACAATTTTGTGATGTAACCACTCCATTAGTGGTGAACGATGCTTCGTCCAAAAATGTTATGTTTTTTAAAAAGTTCTGTCTTTCAAAATTTTGTACCCAAGCCACAAACAATAATCTAAACGTTTTGCTTCATCACCTAATTCGATAGTGTGGTTAAATTTTGGTTTATACGGCAATATTTTATTTTTTCGATAAATTCTTTGTAAATGGGATTTACTTATACCGACTTGAACTGCCCTTTTTCTTAACGACACTTCACCGTAATCCATTGCGTTCGTTACTCCAACAATCGACCCCGCATCATGTTCATCTAAAAGCTTTTTTACCTTCCTTTTATTTTCCAAATTGCCCATTTCCGAAAATTTTTCAACAACTCTCTTCATTGTTTTTTATCTACTAAAAATCAAAATTTTTCCTCAAATTGCCTTTTGCATTGTAACTAATGTTCCCCAATTCATAGCACTGCACTATAAATACTTTATGTTGTGATGTAAAACTCAGATCATTAGAATATTGGAATATTAGAAAAAAGTTTTCAAGAAAAAGTTCATTTTTTCTTTTATATGCTAAATTAATAAAATTCGGCATATCTCTATAATTTAACATAACAAACATTTTATCTTAATCAACTTTTGTTGTACATTGCTCAGAAAGACCACTTTACCTGCAACGGTTAACAAATTTCTTGCATTAACTTTGGTACTTTGACAATATTTGACGTAAAACTTGGTTATATTTCGTTTTATGACATGCAGACTTTAATTGCTAAAGATGGAATTTGAATTCAAAAATTTATCGTCAATTATACCTTACGGGCACACAATCCGGAGACACACTGTATATCTTGGTAGGTATCAACTTTATAAAAAAAACATTTTATACAAAACTTGTTTAATATTTGATTTGCCATAATAAGACAGCATTCAATTGTTTTTATTTCAGAAATAATTCGAGGTATTTGACGATCTCGGATATTTAGATTAATGTTATTGATTAATTTTTATTAATAAACAATTTTTACATTTTTTTCAAAAACTTTCTGATGTAAGGGTATAAAAATTTTACGTCATCGTCAAGAGAAAAGTAATCTCTATCAAATGAGCCTATCGAAAGGGTATATTGCCATTTAAAAAAATTCAAGTGTTAGTCGTTACTCATTTGTTTTCTGACTTAAAAACAATTGAATGCAGTCTTATTATGGCAAATAAAATATTAAGCAAATTTTGTATAAAAAAATCTTTATAAAGTCAACATTTACCGAGATATATACTATATTCCATACATAATGGGCAACAATATACACTGTATATGGTAAGCACGCATTTAAAGATATCGCCATGTCGAATGCCTATCTGCACACTTACTTGGATATTTGTGTATTAGTTTTAGTTATACAGGGTGAGTCAGAAAAAATGGGAAATCCGAATACCGGAGATACTAGACACCAAAATATGATGATTTAACGTAACATCTCTTATACAAATGTCAGTGGCTTATACATACACGCTGCTCGTTTGATAAATCAAATCATAAGTTTTTTGACTCGACAGCTACGACCAATAAGAGCTGCAAATCACAAAGAGCATTCAATTTTACATAAAAAAAGGTACTCTTATTCCAATTGTCTAAGTCTATCGGTTTTCGAATTGTTTCCTTTTAAATGTTTAAATGTATTTTTTCTTCTAAAATATTTATTTTTTAACACAAGCAAACTTGGGTTATTTTTCCGCTTATGTTTCGACAATTGCCTGTTAATTGTCAACATTGATCTAATTTCCGTGTGCAATAATCATTTTTACCAACAATAAAGTTATTACCAATTTGAAAATATCACGACATAATAAGTTTTTTAATAGTGAGAAATCCAGATTTAAGTCCACCGGATTTTTGAAAATGGTCACAATATTCTATTGTTATTAATTAATTGTTATTGTTATCGATTATTATCGTTACTAATTGCTATAGTTACTGTGTGTTATTGATTTTAAATGTTAACCTTAAAATTACTTTGAAACAATTAAAAGCAGATAACTTGGAAACCAGTAGACTTAGACAGTGTAAGCAAGAGTACCTTTTTTTGTGCAGAATTGAAAACTCCTTCAGATTTCTGGTTCTAATTCACCTCAACTGACAAAATAGTCATGACTTGATATCTGTCCTCTAGGAGTAATCACAAAACAAATATCAAATTCGTATTTATCATGCTCGAAAACATCTAACTACCAAATTTTATGTTAATAGTACAAAAACCTTCAAAATTATCAAGAAATTTCGAAATAAAAATTTAACTTTCAACACCCTGTGTATTAAAAACCACCGACATTTGTATAAGACATGTTAGGTTAAATCATCATATTTTGGTGTCTAGTGTCTTCGGTATTCCGATTTCCCATTTTTTCTGACTCACCCTGTATATTTTTAGTCTACATAATTATTATTAATGTCATGCAAAAGAATTCAATCGCTGAATGACCAAGTATCCATAAAATGCTGCTTTAATGATCAAGTAGTATTAAATTTATAGGAAATTAAACTGGAATAATTTTCCGTTTGAACATATGTTGACATAATTCATGATTTAGATATCCTTATTCATCGAAATAGTTTCTATTGAATTCGGCACGTTCTAATCGCCAACCGATCGTTCTACTTCCAACTCTATTATTGACAACACGAAAATTCAATAAAGTTACGCAGGGGCTAGAACTTAAAGCATTACGAAATAGTCGTCTTGCAAACCAGGTTTTCTCTGATTTGAGAAATCTTTTAATCGTTTCTACGTTTCCAAGTTTTTGTTTTAAAAAATGATGCAATAACAGCAAAAAGAAGAATAATATGCAATTAATTTGAATAATTTAATTGTAAATAGAAATGAATTCGTCGTGGTTATTGTTGTTCCTGGTTCACATAATCGAATTCCAATACATCACGCCGAGTAAACTCTCTCACGTGTCAGCCTGCAGCCCTAACAGCGATTCCTGGTTCGATCCACAGGCTAATGTGGCGTATCAATTTCCTGCAGGATTACGGAGAGAATAGTGCGGCTCCATAACCTATAATTCAAATGGTGCTCGGCGTACCGCCGGTTTCGATTCGTCTTATTTTTGCCGCGGTCGTTAGGCCGACCATATGTTCTCTAGTGCTCCGTTACTCGTTAATAGTGTTAATATTGTAATAGCAAATTACAAGCTATAAGATTGCATTAGCGACATGCGATGGCTGCCCCTCAGTCGTTAGTATCCACTAATCCAGCGCCGTGGAAATGTAAATTGCTGTCAATTTATACCTAGGAAATTACACAGCGACGTTCTTCCATATCTGGCGTTTAAACTTCTCTCGCTTTCTGTGTACCTAATACACCTATAGAATAGCAAACTTCGCTTTTCAAAAGAAAGTAAAACCACCGTAAGTCACACTCCAGGTTCTCTTCGCTCTGTTTATTTACTGGTTCACACGTAACAATTCGCGTCGACTTTAGATTTTAGTCTACGCGGTTTAATTGCTTCCTGTGGTTGCGTTTCCCTTTCTCTTCTTGTTGTCTATGCTGTTCTCGCCTATAACGGCTCTCGTTCGACATTAATTGGTATACAGATTAAAGGTCATTACTATAGCACGTAAGACAAAGGATTGCACACTGAGAAATTACGTCAAATGACACTCACCAACAATTATTTATCCCATTATCTCGCTAAAGGACTTCCGTAATTCATTTTAAATATCTAATTAAAATAAATAAAGTGACAAAGTATAAAATACTAGGTAATGAAAGTCTTACATAACTTAACGTTTTGTATTTTGTAACGTTATATTACACAAGTAAATTTAATTTTATTGCTTGTTTCAGGTAAGAAACAAATTCCTAAATACTGGTAAGCTATCAGATTTCATTTCGTTTTCACTTTCATTTATAAAATTTACATAAAATTTCGATTTACGCAATATTTAACGAAAATAAAAAAATCTTCGCCGTGAAAGCTCAAATATTATAATGAACATACTAAAAAAGAACAATGACAAACAAAGCCTCATGGCACGATGACGTAGCCTAAAATGTTACACCCACATTGTTTACGAACCTGCGTCAAGGTGTTGTTTGTTCCTTGGTACAAGTTTACGATGGCTTCGCAAGATTTCATTACGAAACATTGTATAATAACATCCCACTTCCGTGCTCGACGTATTGCACATCGCGCTTGACTTCTAAACTTTAATGCGGATCTTGATCGCTCTAGTTTTTCCAAGATCACATCACGGTATACAATCGCGAAATATAAATACGTTAGTATCTATTTTTTCTTTTCGTTAACGACCGCGCTCACCTTGCAAATCGAATAAAATTTCGAACTGCTGGAGAGTAACCTTTTCGCTCAGACGTAATACATCGCCCATAAAAATGGACAATACAACAAATGCATCCGGTAATTTAAAACAATTAACACAAGTTGAAATTTTTATTCAATTACATACTATTTTCAAGGCAATTGACACTATGAGTTGCATAATTTTCTATTTTTAGGAATATTATTTTGAAATGTCCTTAAATTTATTTAAATTAAAGTATAGATTGACTTGTGTTTCCGGGAATATTATTTCCTTATTTGCTAAGATAATAAATGTTAACATAAATGTAGGTCAGAAACCTTTTCGTTCCAAGAAGTGATAAAGTACTATTGTAAAACCAATAGAGGAAGCATAAAACTTTATGTATTCATTTATGTTTTAACTAAAATTCTTATCTTTACAAAGATGTGCATAGATATCTGGTCAAATACCTTTCGTTTCCAAGAACTTAATATTACTATTTCATTATTTTTGCACACATTACAAGTATTTAAGTATCTGTCTTAAAGACAACAAAAATTTATGAAAAGAAGTTTATAGAGATTATCATCAAGTTAAGACGTTAATTCCAAATAATAAGTCTTTTGTATTCAATCGTAAGCACCTGTAACGCCATCGTAGTTCCATTATCGTAATATTTACGATTAGGTAACTCGCCAACGCCATTGTGCGCCTCAATGGCGATGCCTTTATACGGTTTTGGCCGCTGTTGCAATGCCCTCGGTATTTGCCACTTGCACAATTTCATTAGCGAATATGACCCACTTCGGCGCTTGAATAAAGCCGCCAGTTCGACGATCGTGTTCAACCGTGTCCAGCCCATTCAAATTTCCAGTGTAGAACTCCACGCTCCATTTGGAGTCCTCGTACGTACGTGTGTACGTAATAAATCATATCGTTACTTCTCTCACCTTTCATACAAACACGATTTTATATACGTAATACGATTTTAGATTTATTGGGGGTTAATATCGACAACAATTATTTTCAATTAAACTTAAAATTAATTAATGAAACAAACATAACAATTAAAGTTTTATGGTAGTAATCAAAATTCTAAATTGGTCTATACCCGATCTAATTAGTGAAAAAGAAAAAAATGGGGGCTAACTTCGTATAGATTCGATTCTAAAATATCTATCTAATGAAGATTAGTAGTTTTACAAATGATCCCCAATAAAGTATTTTAGATCTTGTTGTGTGAAGTATTTCAACTTAAATCCCTGTAACAGTTGTAAGATTGTGACGTAATCAATTTGAATATGGCAGTTTGATACATTATTTATAATTATGTAACGTTGCTTTTTATTGCTAGTTTTTTTTTAATTGAATGCAAAGATCACCTTTTAGTAGGAAAAACTCTCGATTTTAAAATTTCGAAAGTTGGTGAAAGTGAATAACCGGACTGCAGAATGGCGAAGGTCCAACAATTTTTCATAAGATATTGTATTATTTTGTTTTGTTCGAATTAATTAATTATATAAACCAAATTTTTTACAAATAAATCACACAGAAAACATATAACAATTATTTAATAAATTGGATAACAACGAACAAAACATACATTTTTTTTGTTAAATTAAAGAACATGAATCTCAGGGACAAAAAAAAAAATAAATAAAACGCAAGTTCATGGAGACACCTATAACTAAGTTTTTAAATTTACGAACTAAATATAAAATAGAGCATAAAGAAATCTGTGCAAGAAAGAGGTAACTCCTTTATAAGAGTGTTGAAATTGACAAAGCTTATACGCGTTAATTTATAAGGGTCTTTTAAGATTGATTTTTTTTTATTTTTATAATCGCGGGGATGAGGTTG